TATTTATACAATCCATAATGGATCGATCAAGAAGAATAAAAGTCGATAACATTAACTAAATCATTACCAATTTTTCTTTTTTTTCCTCAATTTTCTTTCCATTCGTGATAATTTTTCCATCATTTCGAACTCATCTATCTGAAAAAGTGAGCAGAGAAATCTGATACGTTAACCTTGGTTCGATGATAAATTGAGTAAGTGTGGTAAAGCGGAAAAGTTGATGAAAAGACAGAAAAATAAATATGAACGAATGGATTAAAATGTTTTCACGTAGATGAGCAACGAATGGCATTTAATTAACTTTGATGCTTGTCGGTGCTGTGCCAATGTTATTTTGGGCTTTAACCACACGCCATTAAGTGCATGAAATAGAATCATTATTGGCATTTCTCGATTTTCTTCTTCTTTCTCAAATTTTCACATGCAAAGAAAATTCTCATTTGGGTATGACTTCACTGATGACTTCATTTGTTACTTATCTCATTTACAAAAAAATAACATCAATTTTCCCCTTTTATGGTATAAAATGCTATTTTACGCACTTACTATAAAAGCTACAGAATTTTCGTCAATGTCATTTGATGAGTCTCATTTTTATTGAGCCATTTTTATCGAAAAATCTTTCATTTTGTGACTTATTCTGTCCGTTTGGATTATTTGAACAAATAGTTTTAAATTGAAATTTCAACTCAAATTCAAGTTTTAAACATTTTCATATGTAATTCAGGTATAAATTTTGATAAATTTACACATCAAAAATTCAAATTTTTAAAATCGTTACAATTTTCCATGTGAATTTTTGAACTTGCAATAAATTTGATGTGTAAACCATGTGTAAATTTATACACATCATAAATTTAAATTTCCAAAAACCGTTAAAAAATAAAATTTTGAATTATTCAACAAATAAAACTGCGTCTCATTCATTTCCATCTTTATTGAAAATTGTCAACTTATTTCTCAACACTTTTATCATTAGCATCATTTGGCTTGTTCACATTTTGCTTATTTTTCATCTTCTTGTTTTTTTTTTCTTTTCTCGCTACAACAATAACAGATAAAAAGTTCTTTTTTTATGCCACATCACATTGTTATAGATCACTCACAACATCACAATGAATGAATTTTTTTTTTATAACATCCAACAATTTTTTCACTTGACAATTTTTTCTGTGTTCAACATTTAATAACCATTGAATTGTCACATCCCATTATCAATATATGTATTTATGTATCTATAGAATGGTTTGTAAAAATGGAAAGAATAATTTCTTTTTATCTATTTTTTTCATTTTAAAGCTTTTATGTCATCATCATCGTTATTGATTTTTACTTGTTTTTGTCTTCTGGGGTTGGGTTTTGTAATTTTTTGATCCTTTTTCTTTGATTTAATTTTACTTATTTTAGACTTTTGAGGACCTTCTTGAGAGTTTTTGTGTTAAAATTCGTTATTCTTTGAAATTTAAATTTTTTAAATTAAACCCTCATTTTTTTCAACTTTTTTGACTCTTATTTTTCAAATATTTTTTTAACCGTTTTTTCAAACTTTTTAACGGTTTATTTTAAATTTGTCAAATTTTATTTCAAAAAATTTGTTCAAATCAAAAAGTATCCCAACCCCAGAAACAAAATTCTCTTTGTAACTTACTTTTTATTATTTATTTCACATTTCCAAATCGAGTGGAGCACACAGAGGAAGAAATTTAATTCAATTGAAGTTCCAAATGAACTACTTAGATGTGCGTTCTATTGAAAAGATGATGATTTCTTCGTCATCAACTTCCTCGGTGTCGTTTGCTGCTCACATTTATTTACATTCCTTACTTTTTAATTTAAAAAGTTTTTACTTAAAGTTATGCAATATAAGTTGTAGCACGAACTTGAACAAGAAGTAAAATTGGGGGGAGGAAGGAGGGAGTAAAGAGAAAAGTAATAAAATGTTTTTTTCACTTTTAGCTTCATTCTAGGTAGCACAGATACAGAAGATTGTAATACTAATTATCCGTGTCAAAAGTTTCTTCTTTAAAGATTTTTTTTTCTCAAAAGCTCTTTTCAATTTATACACAATGAAGCGTAGAACGAGATAGAAAGAATAAGGTAATAAAAAGGGGCAATTTTCCGCTTTAATGTTAGGAACACAAACTTTTTATAAAGAGGTGGAGATGTGGAGACAGGTCTCGGTGCAAATGATAAATTGAGGGAAAGTCTGAAAGCTTCTTAATGGACGTCGAAAAATCAAGAAAGTCGGTGACCACAAAATTCTATGTAAATCTCTCAAGTCTTTTGTCTCAATGTTTTTTTTTCTGTAGGTGTTACCTTTTTGCATGTCTTTTTTTGCGGTTGAATAAAATTTGTCATGAAAAATGGTTTTGGTGTTTATTTATAGACATGAAAATTAATTCGTATCGTTGTAATTCTGTGGAAAGTTGTTCGACTTGGAATAACAGATCATTTATTTATTATTACGAAAATTGATCTGTTTTGGTTTTGATTGAATCTCTTTAGGAAGCTTGTCAATCTTTTTTAATTGACGGGAGGATTTCCATCATTTATTTAAATTTTGTTTGAATTCTTTATGATTTAGAATTCAAGAATCCGATGAAAATAACTTGAAACCGTCATTTATAATTCAAACAAATAACCTTCATTTGCAGCCAACTTCAAGAGATATAAATTCCAAATTTTATAAATCAAATTAAAATTCTGATAATTTTCACTTTATCCAACCTCTTGATAATACATAACCTCAGTAAATCACTATTTACTAGCACGCCGATTCATTCGATTCCTCGATTAAAAAATTTCTATCTAAAATTCAACTTTATTTTTATTTTCAACGATTCCATAAAATTTGAAAATTCTTAAAAATTTCTATTTAAAGCTTTTTACTACGTTTTTCTTAACTTGCTTTCTTGTTTGTTTGTTTGTTTGTTTGTTTGTTTGTTTGTTTGTTTGTTTGTTTGTTTGTTTGTTTGTTTGTTTGCAAAAAATTTCAAATCTTGCGATCAATTTTTGGGCCACTTCTACTGCTCCAATCGAGCTAAAATTTTTAATGCACATGTATTTCCGGTGACAATACAATATTTTAACACTTTGGAAACACAAAAATGCTTAATTATAGTACAATTTATGTAAAACTTTTTTATATGGGAAAAAATCCAATGTCAATGATATAAAATTTTGATTTGTATTAAATATTATACTTGTGATGCTCTAAAGTCATTTATATGATTCATTATAGTTTAATTAATATTACTAATTATTAATTATACCATAAATTTGAGCAGCTAAAGATATTCTGGTAAGACAAAAAAATTGACATGTAATTTTTTCATGAATATTCGTAAGTGAAAATTTGAATTTTCAAAAAAACCGTTAAGCACAAGTCCGTTACGAATTAATGCAAAATAACTATTAATATGCGATGTGCATTTAGCACACATAGTTTGAGCATAAATTTATGCTGTTTTAAATGTTTTGCATTATTTATAACACTTCACCAACTTAATTAAATTGACTTTTCTTTTTATTAACGGTTTGACGTATTTTTGCATAACATATAAATGATATTCATTGAATTTAAATTTGAAAATCCGTTATAAATACGTTACATATGTGATTTGCATCTTTATGTTAAGAATCCACACGTTATAAAGTAGAAATGGTACAGATAAACACAAAATCTTTACGAGTGATTTTTAATGTACTTTACTAATGAATGCTTTAAAAAAATTAAATTTTATAAAACGAATGAAAAATTTTGAAAGTCGTTACTAATTTCCCATTGAAAACTGGTAATTTATAAACAGATGAACGCAACGAAGTGAAGTTCAACACACCTGTAACCTATAAACCTACTGTAATCTATAAACAGTTGAACGTAACGAAGTGCAACGAAGTGAAGTTCAACACACCTGTAACCTATAAACCTACTGTAATCTATAAACAGTTGAACGTAACGAAGTGCAGCGAAGTGAAGTTCAACACACCTGTAATCTATAAACCTAATGTAATCTATAAACAGTTGAACGTAACGAAGTGCAACGAAGTGTAGTTCAACACACCTGTAACCTATAAACCTACTGTGATCTATAAACAGTTGAACGTAACGAAGTGCAACGAAGTGAAGTTCAACACACCTGTAACCTATAAACCTACTCTAATCTATAAACAGTTGAACGTAACGAAGTGCAACGAAGTGGAGTTCAACACACCTGTAACCTATGAACCTACTGTAATCTATAAACAGTTGAACGTAACGAAGTGCAACGAAGTGAAGTTCAACACACCTGTAACCTATAAACCTACTGTGATCTATAAACAGTTGAACGTAACGAAGTGCAACGAAGTGGAGTTCAACACACCTGTAACCTATAAACCCCCTTTACTCTTTATTTCTCTATTTCATTAGAATAAGACTAAAAAGTAGAAAATAAAATACTTTATAAAAAAAAACTTTTTAAAAAACTACGTTTTTCGCGTAGACTAAAAAGTAGAAAATAACTTTTATTCTTGGTTGTAAAGAATTTGGTTTTAAATTTTCAGATTATATTTATTAAATTTTTATATCCTAGTCAATATTGTTCACAAAGTTTCGAATAAGTGCACTTTGATCTTATCGTATAACTCAACAACTTAAAAACGTGGGCGCATTATAAGAGGAGAAATAAGTTTATGTGAAATCAATACTTTATGATAAACTTAAATTAATGCGCCCACGTTTTTAAGTTGTTGAGTTTTACGATAAGATCAAAGTGCACTTATTCGAAACTTTGTGAACAATATTGACTAGGATATAAAAATTTATTAAATATAATCTGAAAATTTAAAACCAAATTCTTTACAACCAAGAATAAAAGTTATTTTCTACTTTTTAGTCTACGCGAAAAACGTAGTTTTTTAAAAAGTTTTTTTTTATAAAGTATTTTTTTTTAATTAAAATTCAACAATCTCGTTAATTTTATATCTAAATCTCTCAAGCATGACTAAAAATAATCCTTTTATTTTTGGAAAAAATCTCTTTTACTACTTGAAAAAGTTTCTTAAGATATATATCAGAAGAGTTCCTTAATAAATAATGGAATTTTGTCTGATCAACGTACCATAAATTATGTAACTTACTTAATTATGTACTTCTTTGAAATATTTCAAAGGAAATAATTGAATATTCAATAAGATTTTAAGATCTTATTTTTTAAAGGAACCGAGATTAAAGCTCGAATTAAAATTGCCCGTTTAGATCAACTTTTTTAAGGGGAAAACAGCTTAGTGGGAAAAAGTTTTGACAAGTCAATAAAATAATTGAATTTCCTATCAAAATATGGGAAAAAAATCGCTTCGAAAGATTTTCTCACCATGTTGTATTCCCCTTGACATTTCCTCTCTCTCTCTCTATTCTGTGCCTTAATTTTGTTTTCTTGTCTTGGAATAAACTCCATTAATTACTTGGTGTTTTTCATGTTTCACAATAATTTTTGTTCCAGATGTGCTGTTCATCTTGTTTCCATCTCATCATCATCATTAGCGCGATGGATATAATTATGTAGAAATTGCCATCACAAATGTTAAGCCTAATATTATTCCTTGTTGAATATGTAAAAGACTGGATCCTCCCATACTTCTCGTGCATCTAAGCTTCCAAAATTATCATCCATAAACGATTCAATTGTCTTATGAACGTGATAAATTACTCCTTTCAGCTCGTGGTCTTCATCAGTATATACCTACCGAAATGTCAAAATTTATGTAGATTTTATAACAAATACAATGTGTGGGATGTGCGGTGTACGATGAAGACATGATGAAAAGCAGTCAAGCAGACGATGTGTGGATAGAAAGAAAGAAGAAAAATGTACAATAAATTCACGTGTACAGATATGATAGAAGTGAACATTCTATTATTATCAAGAGTTTCATCTTTTTCCCATGCATATCATCATCATCCACAACATAATCATTATCCTTCCTCACTTTTGTTCATTCTAAACTCTAGGGTAAAATTTTTGGTAATCTCAAACTCACCTGATGTCTAAAAATGACTCCCTTTTGTATGAGTGATTTTGTCAGGAGCATTGTGTGCTGTTGATGCACTAACGTGTCTGCTGTGCCATGAATGAGAAGGTAATTTTTCGATAGGAAGTTTGCAGCATGTAGCGATAAATCGGCTTCCTGTAGAGAATGACCTATCATTCGCTGATACCCGAAATATTTCTCCGTAAAGAATGAGCCTGTAAGGAGTAATAAGAGAGGAAATGATCAATGTTTTTCGTGAGATTTTTGATCTTTCATGGGTTTTGGCGCATTTTTAAGTATTCTCCGAAAATCTTGTAAATTTTGTGATCTACATCCTTGATCCGCAATAATTTTGAAAGCTCTAAATAGGTTTATATTGAATAATTTTCAAAATATGAAATCTTTGTTTACAATCTATTCAAATCCGAAATTTAAGAAGTTTTATAGGTTTGAATGCAAATCAAGTCCTAAAGTCATATCAGAATTGATCTCAACATTTTAAATAGCTTTGATTTTATTAATTCAAAGATCCAGTAATGCTTTAATTAACAAAAATTAATTTTTTTAGGTTTTCTTCTTAGTCTGTTGTCAAAATTCAATAAAATTTATCAAACAACATTACTAAAACCTTAAAAAATTGCCTAATATGTACTGAACAAAAGAACCAGACAAACAACAAACAAAAGCTTTTATTCGTTTGAAAAAAAACGCGCCAAAAAAGAAGAATGGATGAAAATGTATTCAACCAAGAAGGTGGAACTGGAGGAAAGAACATTTGCAATAAATAAATGTTTATCTATAGCTATATACTTACTATAATATTGAAACGAAACAATCGGCGCTACAGCGATGTAACATAAGAACGTTCTTTTCGAATCCTTCGTTAGCAGAATCGATGTCAGATAAGCTCCATAGCCCCATCCATACGCGCAAATTTTCGTTGGATCAATAATTTTGAAATTATCTCGCAAATATCTATTTTTGGTAAACATAATGGCAACAATAATAGCAATAATATTGAAATAAATGAAGCATGAGAATAGAATGGGAAGGAGGTGAAAAATGTTTGGTTTTGGTGTGAATGTTATGGGTTGATGAGCATTGGGGAGATAACAATGTTAATAGTAATAAAGTTTTACGAATGTGAATAGGGATAAACGATAGTGATGGAGATGGGATAGAGTATTAAGTGAAAATTGTGGCTTGTCAGTAACAATAAATTTACTTACGTAAGCACAGTAAGCTGATCCTCAACATCCACCGCACTAACATTTCCTTTAATTTGTGATTTAAAAGCTTCACCTTGGAAACCACTTCCTCTGCCATCAATTTGAGCAACGATAAAGGATTTCTGTGATGCTAGATAATGATCCCAATCAACTTTAAACTCTTCTGATACTAATTGAGAGCTGGGAGTTGAGTCAATGTGAAGAATTAGTGGAAATGAAACTTCTTCGTCTTCTTTCGCCATTGGCGGTAAAAATAATCGAACTTGTGCGTGAAAACCATCACGTATCTCAACACTAAATGTCTTCACTTGAGGCAATGCCAATTCTAATACATTTTGTGCTAATTCCGCACCATTATCAATGATGAATATTTTCCTAGCTAAGAAGGTATCTACGAGATAAATGCTCGGTGTATCGGGACCTAAGCATTCGAGTATATGAAAGGAAAATTCCGTACTCATATGAACGCGATTAAATAGGCAATTATTGGGTATTAACTCTGACTCACTCGGTTCCTTATTCTTTCCAATCATGTGATTCACATGAACAAAAATATCTTTCTCATTATGATTGTGTTCACGAATAAAGCTATTCAAATTGTATGTATTATTCATATCATAAGTATCGATGCTATTATCACATGATAAACAAACAGGAGTTTTTGGTCGAATATTAATATCACTCGATGTACTATCGAGTACTTGAAATTCCAATACTATCTTATATAAATGTCTTTGACCAGGACGATCCTCAGGCGCACTCATATAATAAATGGCTTGATTTTTTGCATCCCATCCAAGGATCTCTGTCACTTCATTACGTCCAATCGTTATTCCAATTGGCTTCTTATTTACAAATGGAATTAATGCAATTTGACGAAACATTCCATACTTTCCATCCAATACCGGATAGATTTTAATCAAAAAACGATTGTTGTTTGATGATTGCTGTGAAGAACTATTTATTGATGGTGACAAGAGTGCATGAGCAAATTCATTCACATCGAGATAAATTGGTTTCTCTGGAGATATGTCGACTCCTATTTCATTGTTTGTTTCTCGTTGTATCTGAATTATAGATTGAAACATGGAATTGTATCAATTTGAGATCATTTTACGGATCATCGTCAGATATGCTATTGTCATATGCATCAGGTGTATATTTTGCATGTTCTGGGACTATATTCTGATTTAAAGTTTTACTATGAGGATAAAAGTTTATGAATCTCTTAATAGAGCAGCATGTTCCACAAAACTCAGTTTGAGTATCAAATGGATTGAAGACAGCGTTCTCAGATAGGATAAAACCAGAAATTTATTTTAAGCTTGTAATCTGATTTATTTTAATTTAATTAAATTTAATTAGAAATCCCATCTCATTTTTCATTAAACATTCATAGACTCTTATTTCTTCCATGTTATATAAATCCACCAAACATTTAATTTGCTTCTTGGTATCAAAAATTTTTCAAACTCCGTTGAGCCTCACACACATCAAATCAATATCAATTTAACAGTTAGGTATACGAACTGTAGACGGAAAATTTGCATATAATGAATAAAATTATCTTTTGTATCAGTTTACATGAAAGCTTGATGTATAAAGTTACGTACTCTCTAGGCGCAATTTTAAAATTAATCCATTCATCGTGTGTACATGTAGCATAAAATGACATATAGCATATCATGACGTCATAGTAATTTATTATAAAAATTATCAAAACGTTCAACTTACTTCAGTACATTCAAAGTTTGGTGCTGTACAGAGCAATGTACTCGATAGCGTCTGATCCCTCGACGTATATGTAATAGTTAATTCTGTGTTGCTTATCCAAAACATATTTCCAATGTAAAAATCGCCATCTAAATGCTCTGGTAGATTCAATGGAATTAAGTTTATGTACTTGAGCACATTCAGATTAACCACAAAGCATGTAACATTTGGATTCGGTGTGCTATAGCGTGGATAACGAATGCTTTTGATCATGGGATATTGCGAATTCCTTCCATTCCATGTGTATCTGTAGAAAAATTACAAAATACATCTTCATGCATGAACAAATTTCCATTCATCAGATTCAATTTCAATTATCCTTTTATGTTGGTATGAATCAGATGAGTGCGAAAAACGGAAATAATATTTTTATTTTTTGGTCTCTTTTTGGGTGGTTTGAACAACATACTGACAAATTCTTGTGAGAAATTGCTTTGCTCACTGTTTTTCTGCAATTTAGACAATTTAATGTCCAACAAAAAGCTTAAATAAGCTTTAAATTCAATAAACAAAACTTCAAGTGAGAATTTCGAAAATATTTCGAAAATTTTGATTTCGAAGATCGAAATACAATTCTTAAGTTTGAGGTTTTAAGAGCAAAGAGTTTCCCAAAACACAGAAAGGAAAAGAAGCCTACAAATAAAAAATGTTAACCCGTGCTTTCATGTTTTCATGCTGTTTCCTGCAGAATGTATCATTTGTCAGTTCCTTTTTATTCTCTGATAAATCGTTAAAAAAAAAGTACGAAAGTATGAACCTGACATGAAACCACATGTACATATTCATACATGTAATGTAAAAAATAAAGAAAATTGTATGAATAGACATTGTGCATGTTTTATGCTGAATAGAAGATGATGATGATGAAAATAAACGAGTGGATCACGTTTCATACTCACTCATATTTTTCTACGTTTGTTATATTAAACGAAAGGAATGATAAATAACTTCCATTTGTCGAGAAGGCGATTGTGTCCCCGTTCAGTTCCGGAGTGTTTGCGTAAAGCCAGTCTTGGATGCCATTGAGAATAAAATCTTTTTTGCCTGCAACGAGAAAGTGTGTAGATGTATAAGAGTGGCTTATAATTATTGTCAAAAGAAAGATTTATCAAAGAGCACATAAGCATCAATAAAGTAAAAGGTCTCCTTTGTAATAATCACCTCTTAGGGAATATTTTTTATAATTCTGACATTTCTCGCTTTAAAAAGCTTCGTTTCAAAAGCTTCAAATGAAACTTAAGAACATTAATTCTTCACCCTCTAATAGGTTCTCTTTATGCTCACATGTTCTTATAAAGCCCTCGCTTTTTAAAAATAAAGCTTTTGCTTATTTTTTTATAAAACATAAAATTTCTTAATGACTTATTTTTCTGTACTTGAAAAAGGCATATTGCATTACTCTTAGCAACCAAGGATGAAGAGAAAATTGAAAAGCTCAACAAGCAGAACGAGATGAAAAAAAAAGTTATATAAATGGAACTTTTTATTGGCATATACATTGTCATCATTTGATGTTGTCATGATTGAAAAAATGAAAAATTGATAGAAGACTATAAAAATTGAAGTGGGGATGTCTAAAGCGCATATAGCTGCAGAAGAAGTGAACACTAATTCAAAATGTGAGCAATGGAGACAATTTTAGTTGTCAGAGAACTTACTGAGCTCAACCCTTCTGCTCACATTCAAAGAGCTTTGCCACCAAACATGAACAAATCAAACCCGTTTCTTAAAATTCAGATTCATAAAAATGTCAGAACGACACAAAAACATGTCTTATGATAAATGAACATAAATTACTCAATCAATGACGACAAGAAAGGAAGGAAAAGGGCGGGAGAGGTAAAATAAATGTTTGAACATAAATATTATTAACAACTTACCATTTATCGTCACACGAATCACAAGATCGCTGTGTATTTTTGGCTTATAATAAATATCATAATCATGTATGAATGCAATTGCCTGCGACAGCTTACTCTTTTCAAACTTTACTTTCGTTTTACTATTTGGAAGAACTTTTTTCTGTCTATTATTTGTATTACTAGGAATATTATTGTTATTGTTGTTAGTGCTTATGCTATCAATATTATCGTTGATGGCTAAATTACTACTATCATAAGAACCGGGTGACCATAATATTTTTTGCAGCTCTACTTCGTCGCTGCCATTTGGTGTGAGTGGATAGATATTTGTTGAAAATATCTCATACACAAAGTACTTTGTGCCATTCGAGTCGCTATCATGCTGACACTCGTATAAAAGTATAAAATTTAAATCTGGTGAAATGTTGTAGCAATCTACATTAAGTCGTCTCTGTGGATGGCACAAACGAGAGAGAAGGACAAAATAAAAGGGACGAGAGAAAAAAAATTATTTTTGGCATGAAAGAAAGTGTAAACAAGTTATGAAAAGCTTGACAATTAAGAACAAATGTAAATAGTGTACGGACAAAAAAGTCATCCTCATTCTATGGACATTTGAGTTAGTAATTTTGTCTTGTCTGTGCGTTTTTCTCGGTAAACATATACAGTTACTCCTCCCTACACCTGTAATTGGGAGATACCCGTTTCAGAGATTTTCATTAAAGTTTGCCGAACAACTAATTATGCCTTAAAGTTGGATCGAGATAGTTCAAATCCCAATCATCAAACAAACAGCTCTGCTATAGCAGCTCTTAATAATCCCAAAAACCTTAAAAAATTCCAAATTTCTCATTTCAAATGACCACAGCATGAATCCAACAAGAGAGCAAAAAATGCGTCCTCGGCATGAGCGTGTTGATGACGTTGACAAAGAGTGATAAGAAGCGTAGGTCGAAGAGTAAACAAAAGCCCTCAAAAAAGCGCTAATTTCATTAGCTACCTCTTTTTTTTCGTGTAACAAAGACGAGAAGATTTAATGATGCCAGCTTTTTAGCATCTACACAGATTTTTTCGTAAATGAACATTTAACCGCACTATCATGATTTTTAAGAGCAGCTCTTGATCATCATCATCATTTAATGCTGTTTTTTACGCCTTATCTCATTCAAAGTCATCATCTAATTGAGAATTTCCGTTGAATTAATGTGCTCTAGAATGAAAATTAAATGTTAATGCCTTCACTTAGAGCTTAAAGCTTCTTTCCTCTCGAATACAATACTCAACGGCTGATTTGTTTAATGAAAAGAATAATGAATTTTTAACATTTTCTTCGCGAGACGTTAAGGAACAACTTTTTCGCCTCTCCCAACGATTATCATTTTTATGCGGAAATATGAGAGAAGGAAAATTTTATCCATTATAATTAAACTCGATGTTCATTAGCGATAACATTTTTAGCGGGATTTTTGTAATAATTGAAACACTTAACATGTCATTTTGACAGCTAAGGGAAAATTTTATGTCGTGCTTAATGCTGTCTAATGAGCTTTTTTGCTTGAACATTATTTTCTATTCATACAATTATGCTGTAAAGTTTTGACAAGTCTTTTATCGATAAAACCAATGAAAACTAACAGAGAAGTTTGTGGTTTTAACTTGTGTATCCGCAAAACCGTAATTATTATCTGACTTTGATGCTTCTTAATTGAGGGGTTAAACGGAAAATGAACGAAAAAAACTTTTAATTGGCTATTTGAGATTGTCGGCTTTATGTGTCTAATATTTAAGGGTAGGGCTGGTATGCATCTGATCTTCAAAGTTCAACACGCATCTTTGAATCAATAATTTCACTACTTTATCTACGCCTCATGCTGACGTGTTCAAACATTAACTAAGAGAAGCCTAAAAGCCTTACTTTCCCACATACATCATTGATGTTCAATCCTTTCATCCATTCAAACACTCTTGATTCAAATCCATCTTTCCCTCAAAATGATTGATGACTTAATAATCCTCAAATGGAAAATCATTGCTAATTTTAATAACCCACATAAAATCATCGCCTTTATGATTAATCTTTCATCCTTTGCGAACCTAATTGTAAGCGAGTAATCAAAGTATTAAAAATTTAATGTCGACAATTAATAATTTTCATCCATCAAATGCGCTTCTTATTTTATCGTACATTAAATCACTCAATTTGCTCATTTACAATCTTTGTGTACGTATTAAAGGAAGTATGAACTCCCACATTTTCAAATGCTCGTTTCTTCATTTCTTGCTTCGCTCTCTCGTCAAATTCAAATAAAGATGAGGCAGAAATGATAAACATGCAAATGAATATAAATGATTATTAATATATTCAGATCCAGGGAGTGTCGATAGATATAAAATTAAACTTGGCTGAGATGTTGGGAGGTCGTTCACATTTTAATGAATATTTTCTGGGCCTTGAAACTGATATCTGAGTGAATCATTATGAAATATTTATATTTTGCCATCTGAGAGCTGCTAAGGCACTTTCAAGACACCAACAAGTCACTTTGGCATTGCTTCCAACCAATGTGACCTGATGACTTCATTGTGCCACATAGGATTTCAAATCTAAGCCCAAAGCGTCTTAGGACTTATTTTTTTTTCCGACCCCTAAGTTTTACAACAGATCAATCCCGTTTTAAGTTCAATTTTAAAACTCCACCGACACCCCCTTTATGTTGAGTTTAATTTTTTAAAGAAAAGAAAATTCTTGTGACTTACAAATGACGAATTATCCATTAACAACTTTGTCTCTAATGTCTCAGCATTAAATAATGATATTCCATTTTCGAGATTTCGAAAGATAAATTCTTTGTCTGTCGTAATGGATGATGATTTTTAATCCGATAGGATGGAGAATATGATAATAATGGCCCATGTTGATGATGATTACGACGATAAGCAAGACGGCAATCACGATAAGATGAAAAGGGAAAGAAAGGAAACAAAAAGAAAGTGGGGAAATGAGAAAAGTCTATGTAAGGAAATAGTTGTTAATGCTGCTCATTATTATGCCTAGATAAATTTATTATAGCATCAAGTTCCTATCTATTTTTTTCGGTTGTTTATATTAACACTGCACAATCTAGATGACATCAACTTGTAGGCAAAACGGTTGACATTTACTTACCATTTATCCATGAGCCATTGAACGACTTCCATTTAAGCGAGTCATTGTAAATATCTGATAAGAGAAGACGCCTTCCATAAATTCTTGTGTCCTCGATTTCTGATGTCATTTTTCATGCCAAAAGGGATTTCATTTAATCGCATTGCAGCCGATGAAAGAGGTTCATCATGACAAGAGAAGGATGGATGGAAATAGAAATGCAAATTTTACAATCAATAAAAGAAAGAGTTGTAAATGATATTAAAGAGAACCGCTGCGAGTGCTATGAAAAAAGGATCTCATGACTTCTTTCACACCTACCTGGTGACAGTAAAAATATTGAAAAGACGATAATTGATAAGACGGCAGAAATTACGAGCAATGCAATACATATTCCCCGCCAGTTTCTCTTCTCTGTTGATGATATCGCGAGTTCCTATAAGAAGTAAATGGAATAAAGAAAATCAGGAAAATTAAAAAGAGTATAAATATGAATGTGGGGGGATAACAGCATGATGGGGAAAATATTTTCGATGGGAAACAATATTTTTTTCTCTTCGAATGAATTCTTACCAGATCCTCAATTTTATGGAAAATTTCGAAACAAATTTTTTCCCTTTCATGCTATTATCCCCTCGTATAGATGTGGAAAAAAGTTAGAATTTCTCCCTTAATTGCTTTTTTATGGAGTGCGACAAAATGAAATTTCATGTGGCATTATCAGCTTCATTTTATACATTTACGAAACTTTTTTTTCACACATTCAAAAAACAACAAAAAATGTTGTTCCTTCTTGTTCTTTAACAACATACACTTGAGTTCAGTTGATGATATGAAATGGAAATAATAATAAAAAACTTTTTTCTGCTTTTGGCTTCTACAACGAAGCGACAAAAGTGACTTCTTTTCTTTCCATCACTTGTGCGAAAATTGATTTCCTTTTATGACCTTTAATCTTTTGTACTGTATCTGCCACTTTTTACCAAAATTGAGTATTGACATGTAATCAATTACTCAACTTCAGCACTCACCATCCAGCTGTTACACAACTGTTGATTTGTGTATTGAAAAATCGATTGAAATTTCTGATGAGAAAAGTTGGGTTTTGTAGATTAAATTTACTTGAATTTAAGCATTGTCATGAACTGCCTGGCAGCAAAAGGTTGAGTAAAGTTAAGAAACTTTAAGAAAATAGATTTAACTACTGACTGAGGCAGTCGATGCCTCTGACCTGGCAATCTTTAAAAATAATTCTGTATCACTGAATGTTGACCTACTACACGTCAAACTCTATACCATTCATCATCATTGATCAAACTCAAATTTTTTTAATACACCACAACATAACATTCTTCGCACCTTCTAAGCTCAATTTGATCTATAAATTTCCAATAAACTTCTTTAACGGATAATTAATCTTCACAAAAACCTGGAAGTTAAAAAGTTTCAGCCATCAATCTTGTTCCTTCTTATTTTCCTGAATACCAAACGATCTTAAATGTTATATAAACGTTTCATGTTAGGAGAAACAAAGAAGGAACAGCACACATGAAGCTGAACTTTTCTCGAATAAGATGCGAGAATAAATGAAGTGAAAATTTTAATTACATTCATGAATATTTTAGGATGGCATGTTGGCATATTAAGAGTTTTTGTTGAACGACAAAAGAATTTGGATTGAAATTGTTGCTGAAATTTCCATGTTGTGGATTGAAATGTGTTAATGTCTTTAATATATTTAAATGTATGCTTTTTGGATGAGATTTTAAGAAAAATCTTTTAAATTTTGTGAGCTTTAGTGATTATTTAAATGACTGTGTTTCAAAAAAGGATTCAGGAAATCTAAAATGTTTAAAGGATGCTTTAATTTACTTTAATGGTAAATCAGTTGTGAGCTTTGGAAAACTGCTTGTCATATACTTTAGTTTTCAAGTTCATTACCAAACTTATCAATCACAAAAGTTAAGATATGACTCGACAGTGGAATCAAATCTGTTTTGACACCTTAGCAGTACTTCTCAAAATATTAAAGACAATCAAAGTTAAAGCCGCTCTTTAAAGTAATACCTTCATAAAGTGGATAAATAAACTTTAAGTTCAACAGCCACTTCAAAATTTCATTAGAACATTTTAATAAAATCTGGATATTAATTTTCTAGAAGTTAATAATGAAAAAATACTTGATAAAATCAGTCTTATAAGCTTATGCAAAGTACATCCTCAGTAAAAAGTGGAATTGTAATCTCCGAAGTTTATCGCATCATCAGGTGGCTTTTCATCTCTATTTTACAAAATTCAATGACCTCAAGATAGAATTTAATTTTCTTTTTTCCAGCTATTCTGATTTGCATGAATAAATCTCATCTGAATGAATAGAAATATAAAAATTTGCATAATGTAAACTCACTTAATTTTAATAGCTTTATTCAATTACATGACTGAAATAATGTAGATAAACATCACTGAGTTAATTATATCCTCGAAAAAAAAATCTTCAACTTGTCAGAATTAACTGTTGATACTCGAGAGATTTTCATTAAACTTTTCGCATAAACAAAAATAAGGCAAGCTTTTCGTGTATAAATCTTAAGAATGTGTTAAGTCATAATTTTAGCAGCACTTGTCGACTTCATTTTCTATCCCAATACACTTCATAACTTTCAAAACAAGATTTTATGAAATGGAAAAAAGTCTGCTGGTAATTTCTTCATTTATTATATTTAAAAAGCAATTAAAACTTTGATTTCGTACCTAGACACACTTTTAGCATTCATAAATGACGTCCAAGACACAAGTTTCCAGCCCAAACAGTTCATAGTCCCCCTAATTTCTATACTGCATATGTGAAGCCCCTCAAAACTTTTTCTCTGATCTTTCCTTCTTGATAACTTCAAATAATTAATTTCAAATAAAATTCTAAATCATTTTTCCTTCATCAATCACTTTTCATGCTTCTCGTCATGTCTATTTTTTACTTGTTTGCGGAGAGGTTAAGTAGCCATGACTGCTTTATCTAAAAAGGATATAAAAATGTTTCCTTTCAACGCAGTCAGAGTTCTTGCTCATTTACAAATGGAAAAAAAGGAAGCTAAGGAATGTAAGGCAGCATGATATTTTAAATATATTCACAGCAGCAAGAACGACTTCCAAACGAAAAAACTAAACAGATTCCAAATCAAATCTCACAATCATTAATCAGGGTGTGAATACTGGGGGTCCTCGATTTGAGTAGATTCTATTTGAGTAGATTCGATTTGAACAGAAAATTTATTACCCACCAAAATATTCGATTTGAGTAGATTTCTTCCTGTTTTCTTCGATTTGAATTGTTTACAAAACAAATATTTTTGATAAAAACATTTCAGAAAATAATTTTAAAACATAAATTTTACTGCGATAAGCGTGAACTTATCATATTGATAGAAAAAACAATACTAAAGTTACAAAATTAAAGTAAAAATTTAAAAAATCTATATAAAATCAACGATTTTAAAAAGTTCAAATTCAAAAACCTTACAAATTGTTCAGTGAAATAACATTTGCAAGGTTCTCATATTTTTGTTTTGTTTCAAAAACATTTTTTTTGTTAATTTCCGTTTAAAAACAATATGAATATGCGTTGAAATAAATTAAGTTATCTAAAACACAAAGGAAAAGTTAAGAAACGAGGTAAAATGTGCCAAAAATGATCAAAATTTTCATTGTTTTGATTCATTTTTTGGACTCTGGAACAAAACATGTAATTTTGTATGGATTCTTTGCCTCGATTTGAATAAATTCGATTTGAGTAGAAATTTTTTGGAACAAAACAACTACTCAAATCGAGGACCCCCAGTACGATGAAAAAGAGTTGAGCATCTCACAAGAAAAAATAATTCTAATAGCAAAAGGATAATTCAATTATTGGGAATCTGATTTGTTGTTGATGATGTTTTTTGTCATTTCTCTATTCGTCCTACAAAGTGTGTTTACAGTAAAGATGAAAAAGGAAATGAGAATCAATTGGAACCATCAGAGTCACATAAAAATAGATGAGCATTATCAGCTGAGTAATGAAGAAAATGAAGATTTTAGGAGACAACAAAAAAGAAGAAGCTACAACAACAAAAAAACTGCAGCATGGGGAGTAATCTGTTCTCATGGAGATTTCATGGCGCAGGCAGTCATAAAACGCTTTATTCTTATCGTTAAATTAGACAATACTGACACGAGAAATTGCTATTTGAGATAAAATATGGCTCAAGTATAAAAGAGCATTAAGCCTAATAATAGAAAAGAGCCCACTGGCTCCACTTCCGTCTCTCGACCGCATAATATTTTTTACGGAAAACCGCATGCTGGCAAAAGCAAAGTGTCTGAAAAATATTATTGTTGACTCAGAAATTGACTCGAGGGGTTATTTAAGTATTGAGATATGGATCTTCCATTGGCATTTAATATCCGCCCAACTGCAAACAGCTTTTCAATTGTCGGAAACATTTTTTTCATTCATACAACCTCCCTTTTTTTCTCATCAAAAATTTTCGTCTTTTTATGTAGTGACTCTCGAGATTTGTACGAAAATTGGTGGCTTGACATGGCTTGGATGTTGAATTTTAAGTTACTGAATTAATTTGAGTGCTGGTGGTTGGTTTGATGCTTTATAATTAATAAATGTCAATCAAAAATTAATACGTAATCAGTGGATACATCCAGAGGCTCTAAGCTACATTTCTAGTAAGCTGGTATAAGAATAGTTAAGGTTTACTCAAGTCAACTCAAAGATAAGTTTGCTCATTCCTGAAAACACCAAAGCATATTTCCCAGCACTTTAATCGATTCAATCGAATTTTAAACAACCGATTTACAGCAATCCATAATCACAACATCCCATCGAAGGAGAAAATTCGCTTTAAGTCACAATGAAAATAATATAAAAGACGGCAATTGAATCGACCATAAAGTCATTCCATTGAAATTTTCGATGCTTGATATGTTCGTTGCTGGTTTGTTGGTGACATTGGCGTGGCGGAAGAAATTTATTATGTACTGTGGAAATTCACAATAGGCTCTGAATCATCCACATTTTCTTCCTTTTTCTTTTGTAAACTTCCGTTCAGAGGGTTTATTTATAAATGATGTTAATGGAATGGCTGGGTTCTTTGAACTTTTTTATGACTTACAGAATCATAAAATGAGTCTCAAAACCATTTTTCATATTTTGGACACCATATTCAAACCATCCCAATTTCCTTTATTTTGTTGAGAAAGCAGCAACTTTACTTTAAAAGAAATTATTTTTTGCCTGTCTTAAATCGCACTTTACGATGTTGTGTTAAGGCATTGAAAATAAAAATAGAACGGCATTTTATATTTTTTGACCAGTGCTCCTACAAGCATTTACTTATTACCCAAATAAAATAAAAATGCACTAAAAATAGCTCTTTAAAAAAGATAGATA